GATTCGGCAGCTTCGCCGCAATCTATCGTCGGGGATTCGACGTCATGGTCAAGACTTGAAGAGCTCGACCCATTGACGTTCACGGACTTCCAGTGGACGCCCGTTCCCTTGACCGGACGATTGCCGAAACCGCATTGCAACGTGCTTATGGCACAATTGCGGGACTACTTGCACACTGCAGTACCAGCTCCGTTGATGGACGTCGGAGCAGAGGTTGTCGACCTTCACGCTTTCATCGCGAAGATCGACCGCAAGTTCAAGACGCAACCGTACGACGACATCGACGCAGCATTGCTATACATACGCATTCAGATCGGAGAGGCGACCTGCAGTGCCTTGATCGATTGCGGAGCATCTCGCAACTACATCAGCCAAGACTTCATGGTACGCGCCGGCCTTGGCCCACGTGTCCGGAGGAAGTCCCAGCCTACGCAAGTCACTCTGGTAGACGGTCATACGCACAAGTCCATCGACCGATGCATTGACGTCGTCCCAGTGTACTTTCCCCCCCACGCAAGTGAGGCGGTGCCCTTCGACATTCTGGACACCAAATTCGACATGATCTTGGGCATGTCATGGCTGCGAAGCAAGGACCACCCTGTGAACTTCTTCAACCGCACCGTTCACGTTCGTGACCAGAACGGAGTATTAGTTCCATGCACGGTGCATTTTCCTCATCCTTCAATCAGCTGCCACGTGGTATCCGCCGCAAGCATGCGAGCTTCCATCATCAGAGACGACATCGAGGAGATGGGGGTGTGTTTTCTCCACACCCTCCCGCCACATGACGCTTCATCGACGGACTCACCTTCGAATCCACGCATCACCGAACTTCTCGACGCCTACAGCGACGTGTTCGAAGACGCGCATGGAGTACTACCGGATCGATCCATCCGCCACGAGATCATCCTCGAGGACGGGGCCATACCTCCGCGCGGTTGCATCTACCGAATGAGCGATGAAGAGTTAAGTGTGCTTCGGGCACAACTCGACGACCTTCTAGGGAAAGGCTGGATTCGGCCTAGCTCATCGCCATACGGTGCTCCTGTTCTCTTCGTCCGGAAGAAGAACAAGGACCTGCGGTTGTGCATCGATTATCGCAAGCTCAACGCGCAGACGATCAGGAACGCCGGCCCTCTCCCACGCATCGACGACCTTCTCGAGCAATTGGGCGGCGCCCAGTTCCTCTCTAAGTTGGGTCTCAAGTCAGGGTACCACCAACTCGAGATTCGCAAGGAGGATCGCTACAAGACCGCGTTCAAGACTCGGTATGGGCATTTCGAATGGCTGGTCATGCCATTTGGCCTTACGAATGCCCCAGCCACTTTCCAAGTGGCTATGACGACGGAGTTCCGACACATGCTGGACCGTTTCGAACTTATATACCTCGACCACATTCTGGTTTACATCCGGAGTCTGGACGAGCATGTGGAACACTTGCGCACCGTTTTGGAGCGGCTACGACAGGCCAAGTACAAAGCAAACCGCGACAAGTGCGAGTTCGCACAGCAGGAGCTGGAGTACTTGGAACACTATGTAACGCCGCAAGGCATCCGTCCACTTGCGGACAAGATCGAGGCCCTACGAGTATGGCCCGAGCCCACCAACACCACGGACGTTCGTTCATTCATGGGGTTGGCGGGCTACTATCAGCGATTCATCACCGAATACTCCAGGATTGTTGCACCTATGACGAGGTTACAGTCGCCAAAGGTGCCATTCGTATTCGATGACGRCGCACGCCGGTCATTCCAAGCACTTAAGATGGCTATGCTCATGGCAGCCGTCCTTAGCATTTATGACCCTACCCTGCCGACACGAGTGACTACGGACGCTTCCGGCTATGGCATTGGGGCAGTCTTGGAACAGCACGACGGCGACGACTGGCACCCTGTGGAGTATTTCAGCCACAAAGTGCCTCCCATCAACTCGCTTGATGATGCAAGGAAGAAGGAGCTGCTCGAATTCCTGATGACTCTCAAACGCTGGCGGCACTTCCTCCTTGGGCGTCGTAGGTTCACATGGATCATAGACAACAATCCATTGACCTACTAAAAGACGCAGGACACGGTGAGCAGCACGATTGGACGATGGATGTACTTCATCGACCAATTTGACTTCACACCAAAGCATGTCCCCGGCCTCTCCAATTGCGCAGCAGATGCAATCTCGCGAAGACCTGATCTTTGCGCTATGACACATCATGCCTTTGCATTCGACGAGGAGCTTCAGCGACACTTCATCCGGGCATACCAGTCTGATCCGGACTTCGGCACGCTCTATGCACAGCTATCTTCGGATCACCCGCCGGCCAGCCATTACCGCATTGTCGACGGGTACTTGCTCCTCCACTCGAGAGGCAAGGACTTACTATGTGTCCCACGCGACCGTCGTCTTCGGACTCGCCT